ATCTTTAAAAAAATTATGATGAAGGCTTATTTTAATTATATGGGGGGAACTGTGGAAGGACCTGTATGCACATGAATGCAGGGGCCTGTCTAGGCCAGAAGAGGGTGTCAGATCTTCTGGGCCAGAGCCATGAGCACTGTGTACCTGTGTCCTCTGTAAAAGTAGTATGTGCTCTTACCACTCAGTGATCTTTATAGTCCCAAAGTCGAACATTTTAAATTTATTTTTTAGACTGGGTCTGTGTAGCCTTTGCTGGCCTATAACTTTTTATGTAGATCGGGTTTGGCCCTGAACTCAGAGAGATACACCTGCCTTTGCTTTCTGAGTGCTGGTACAAAAGGCATGCACCACCACACCTGGCTGTTAAAGTCGTCATTTTGGCTGCTGTGTTTACAATAGACATTTGGGGAACAAGGCAAGAAGGAAAGCCAATGAGCAAGAGAAAAAGCAAGGGGTAAGTAAGGGTGTCCAGAAAGCAACTGAAGCCAACACTTAAAGTAGGAAGTGACCCCACTGTCAAGTCTGGATGTGTATCAGAATGGTGGGAGTTAAGAGTTAATGAGTTTTAATACATTGAGGTTAGGACAAACACTAGGGAACTAATGAGAAACACCCTGATTGGACATGAGGAAAATAAACACAGAAGTTAGCAGTAGCTTTTGAATAGTTTTGCTGTAAAGGAGAACAGGCCCTGGAGAAAGATGTGGCATTAAGATGTTTATTTAGATAACAGGTAACAGACAGGAGTGACTGGGTAGAAAGGAATGATGGAATGACACTCATCATTGTCCAGATAGAATGAATGGATGGTTCTAGAGCTATTCAGATGGGCTTGGAAGATGATAGATGTTCTCTTCCATTGCCTGTAAGGTAGCAGGGTCATCAGCTAGAGGAAGAACTTGGAAAGACTAAGGCCTGTGATGTCAACCGGCTAGAAGATTTAATACAGCAGCTTGTTGGAGGTTGCCCACTTAAGATTGGTGGTTTTGAAGTGGGAACTCCCCACCCCGAAGCAGGGTTAAGATTGAAATTTAACATAGGGTTCGCCAGGAATGTGGTGGTATTGCTAGGACACAGTGGTAATGAAAATACTCTGGGCTGGATGAGGGCCTATGGGTGTGTGATAGTCAGCAGCTAGAGAAATCCTGGTGATAGTAGGAATGGCTGCAGTTAGGCATAGAGGACAGGATTGGTGTGGGCTGCTTGAGATTTAAGTCTTTCATAAAGGTCTAGGGAGTGACTGTGGGAGGGTGCAAAGGGAAGTTATGATCATCAGAACAGTCAACACTGAGAGCAGGTTATGGAAGCAGCATGTGCGTAAGGAAGGAGCGAAATCATTAGAGACTGACCAGAGCAGTGACAGGGTGACTGTGAAATTAGTATGCGATGGGCAGCAGCATGTGGGTGGGGGATTGGAAGGTAGGTATATTGGACTTGGGGCACTAGCCTTCTGTAGAAGATTTTAGGGTAGGGCCTTGTGCTGTGCATTTTATGCTAACTTGACAAGCTAGGATCAGCAGGGAAGAGGGAACCTCAAGAAAGTACCTCCAGCAGATTGGCCTGTGGGGCATTTTGATAGATGATTAATGTGGGAGGGCTCAGCTCATAATGGCAGTGTGATTCCTGGGGTGTGGTATTGGGTGCTTTTACAAAGCAGGCTGAGCAAGTTATGGGGAACAAGCCAATAAGCAGTACTCCTCCATTGCCTCTTCAGCTCCGATTTTGACTTCCCTCAGTAATGGACTGTGACCTGTAAGCTGAAATAAACCCTTTCTTCCCACATTGGTTTTGGTCAGTGTTTTATCACAGCAATAGAAACCCTAATTCAGACAGATTCTGTTGGAGCACCACTGAAGAACTGCATACCTTAACTCCACTGTCTGCTCTCAGAACTCATCGATAGTGGGAGGAGTACCCAGGGGCAAGCCTTTTGGAAAGGCCAGGACACAGCTGTGGTCCAGTCTCTGCTAGGAAGGACTGCTCTCCACTGGCCTCCTTACCATCTGAAGCTTTTGGGCTGTCCCTTGTCCTCCTCTTGGGCTTTGGCAGTATAGTTCTGTGCTGTGTTCTAGTCATGCGAAGGCCTGCCTTTTGGATGGTTAAATGCATGGCTTACTTGTACTTAGTGTAAACTGTTCCTCTTGGCTTATAACTCAGGATGTTTAGTAGGCAACTTTTGAGGAGGTAAAACTCAGGGGAGGTATAACACTGGGCTCTGCAGTGTCCTTATGTCAATGTAGCCATGGTAAGCCATTGTCCTAGACTAGATGGGAATTTCCAAATCAGTTAGCTGGCAGCTAATTAAAATTAGAGTGTATGTATGTACTCAGGAAAAAGAAGTGCAGTGACACCTTACCTTATTTCTGTTACATCCAAGGATATCCCCACTAGTAGTACTAGGGGCCTCACACTTGCTAGTTCTCAACTTCCACAGTTGCCTAAGCTGGCCTTGAACTTGGAGTCTTCCTGCCTCAACTCTAGAGCAGTTGAGATTACTGGCTTTCATCACCTCATGTCATTTAAGTAAAGCAGTTTGCTAAATGGAAGAGCAATTCTTATCCATTTGCATGTAAACTGTTATTGATGAAGTACTAGTGAGGTCTTTTTCATCGTTTTCTTCCAGGTGGCCATCGTTGTGTTAGGAAACAAAATTGACCTTTCTGAGCAGAGACAAGTGGATGCTGAAGTGGCACAGCAGTGGGCAAAAAGTGAGAAAGTGAAACTCTGGGAGGTGACAGTGACAGATCGGAGGACACTGATTGAGCCCTTCACTTTACTAGCCAGCAAGCTCTCCCAGCCCCAGAGCAAATCCAGCTTCCCTTTGCCCGGGAGGAAAAACAAAGGGAACTCCAATTCTGAAAACTGAGTCAAGCCTTGAAATGTCTATAGCATGGCACAAGGTTATGATCTAACATGGTGGTAATTTAGTGCACTTTATGTTACAGTTATTAGGCTAGTTTATTATTGTTGGACATATTTTGTCTTTATTTGAAACCTGTCCTTGAAATCAACACCTTTGTTATTTATGCTGCACTTGTCAATAATAGTAAAATTAGTTTAGAAGTGTATGCAGTGTACCATGGGAACCCTTCCAGCCTGTTAAGAACTGTTATCTTCATTGTAGCTTTGTGCAAATGCCTTAGTGTGAACATAACCTATTACTGTGCTTATGGAGTCTGCTCTCTCCTTCCGTCCATGCGTAAGTTCCAGTGTTTGAACTCAGGTTGCCTGGCAAGCACCTTCCATACTGAGTCATCGCGTGACAGGCCCATAGCTTTGTTTTAAAATTGATGAAGGCACACCTGTAAGGAAGGTGGATCTCCTGTGAGTTTGAGGCCAGCCTGGCCTACAAACTGAGTCCAGGACAGCCAGAGCTACACAGAGAAACCCTGTCAACAACAACAAAAGGTTGATTAGTCAGTAGTTAAGATTCATGCTCTTGCAGAAGACCCAGATTCAATTCCTAGCACCTACTTGGTGGCTCACAACCACCTAATTGGTGGTTTATATCCCACCCAAGGGATTCAAAACCTTTTTTTGGCTCCTTTAGGCACTGCATGTAGACAGTGCCTGTATATATATACATGCATGGAAAACCACTCATCTGCATAAAATATCTGTTTTTAAAGTTTAATCATCTAATATCCAAGATTATAAAACTTAGCAGTTGTTTTGTGTACCTAAATTGTACCAGTAGCAACAATTTGGATCTATGTGAGTTAACTTATTTCATGAGGGCTTTGCTTTGCTTTAGTAAATGTAATAGAGCTTAAGGTTTGGATGAGTGGGCTTGTATTCAGAGCCATTTTTATTCTGTAAGCTAGGGCTGTGCTGACAATAAAACCAAATACTAGTGGGTCTTCTTTCTTTTACAAATGGCTAGGAAAAGCATCCCTTCTAGCAACCTTGTGATATACAAGAAAATATGTCAGAAATCCTGAGCTACCATTTGTCCTAAACATTTAACTCAGTTTGTAAGGTAGTTTATGTAAGATCTTGGCAAGATCTGAACTGTATGGGTCATTATATTATAAAAGTTTGACAGCACTGTACTAGAATAGGGAATAAGCTGCTTGCTGGTTTCTACTATAAAAGCAAAAACATGAAACAAGCTATAGTGAAGAATGATTAAGGCAAGTAAAGTATGGAGTCTGTTAACTGTGGCTGGCCTAGTCCAGTGAGTTCAAGCCAAGGAGCACTGTGTATATATAACATAGTACTACACATCAGCATTGGGGCTCTTTGCTTTCTGTTGGTGGGGCTGCAGACTAAGCCCAAGGCTTCATGCACACTCAGGCTTTGAACAAGGAATCTTTGTGCCAGAGACACCCTGGATGCTGGGATTACAGTCACCAGGTTTGCCCTTTGTCCCCCTTTAAAGATAGGGTTTTACTAAACAACCCTCACCACTAGTTGGAACTACGTGGACCTCAAAACCTTCTTCAGCTGGGATTAAAGGTATATACCACTAAGGCTAGTCTTGGCCAATTCTTTAAAAATAAATATATAACTGAACATACCTTTTTTTTGGTTATCACGTCCTGGGTCAGTCCCCCCACCCCCACCTTTTTTTGAGACAGGATTTTATGTAGTCTAACCTAGTCTCAAACTCAGCATGTAGCTGAGGATGGCCTGAACTCTCCTCCTCTGGCCTCCACTCACCCTGGATGAAGGTGTGTGTGCTGCTGTGTTCACCTTTACCTGCGTGAGGCTGGGGAAGTGTGCAGCAGCACTACGGCTGAGTTTTTGGAAATGGCCCTGCAAGCACCAGCTCATGAGGACTGCTCATATATGAGCCTGCTGCCACTACATCTGCAAGTCAGAAAATAAGCATTGGAGTTTATCTTTGAAGCTTAGCATAGATTGTTTATTGTTTTTAAGATATCTCAAAATCTGCTGTGTAAGTACCAGTCCTGGCATATGTAAGTAGTAGATATTCCTTAACCGCCTTCAGAAGCAGAGCCTCTGCAGAGAGGAAATGAACACAGCAGGGCCAGGAGTTGTTCTTAATATTGTTTATTAGCACAGTAACAAATGCAGACATAAGAAGTCTAGAACAACCAATCCACTGCGCAGTTCCTATTCCACACTTACAGTTAACAGCTTAAGGTATTTCACTACAGGTTTCCACAAATCAACCCTTAAGGTAATTTGCATATAAAATAAAATACAATAACTACTCATGTCCTACTTTGTGTCTTGTAGCCAGGTGTTCATTTTATATATACGAGGTAACAATCTTTGCAGACTATTAAATACCATTGTTTCCTTCTAAGAAGGAAAAACATTCCAATTTTTTCAAACAAGAAAATAGGACTTTACATAAATGGCCGTGTGTATGACCTATACAAATTTAAGCTGATTTGGAAATTACAGTAGACTATAATCAATGGAACCCAAGTGTCTACACATACATTCTTTCCTGTTGTACTAAAAGTCAGCTAAGCTTGCAAACTGACAGTTCTAGAAGTGGCTATTACCAGTTCGTCTACTGTAGCAAGATACCTTAAGTTACAACAAAATCCTGAAGTAAGACTGAATAATATCTGTTATAGAAATACCCTACTCTTTACCAACTCCCACCCCTGCCCTTTCAAAATCATAAGCAGCTCTCTTCTGTGACAGACAAATAATGTAAGAACTGTGAAAACCCAGTTTATGTGGCATATCTCTTGGTCCACTGTCTGGCCATTCTGTCGTGTTCTGCTCTGTTGGTCATATACTGAGTGGCAATACTTCCCACCAAAGGGTCAGCTGGAAGAAAAACATGTACATTATTTTGGAGAAAGAAAATCAGACACTTTGGATAGAAACAGAGAGCATATAGTTACGACCATGCCCATGTCAGAAACACTCATTGTCAGAAAATACAGGTTTAATTAGGCATTCCCTCTTTAGAAAAACACGTTCAGTTGGAGGTCTGGGTTTTGACCTTTTGTAACAATAGATAGTGCCAATTGCACCAGCCACACAGACTTCCCAGTATGCACAACTCTAATTGGTCCTGGACTAATTGGAGCTGGTCTTGGACTCTTGAATATCTTAGACTCATGAGTTTGGTCATAGACACAAATAACATAGAGTGTCACTAATTGGGAGAGAAGTAGAATAAGAAAATAGCACCAGTATTTTCTTCTAATCATTAAAAACAATTTTAAAAAGGTTTATTTATGTGTAAAATCTGCCTGCAGGTCATGGATGTGGGTTGCCATGTGGGTGCTGGGAATTGAATCCCAGAACTCTGTAAGAACAATTGCTCTTACTAGCGAAGACCCTCTTCTAATCTTCATATAAAATAAAACAAGGGAGGTTGGGAGGAGTGACCTGGCATTATTTTCAGGATAGCCAGGGCTACACAGGGAAACCCTGTCTTTAAAAACCAAATAAATAAATTACTTAATAAATAAATAAACAAATAAATTATTAAACAAATAAATAAATTACTTTTACTTAAAGTGCAGATGATTATTGATCTTACCAGGATTGCAGTCTGTAAGGAGTGAGCAGATAGAGAGGAGGACTTTCGAGATGGTTAGTGCTGGGCTCCAGTTGTCTTTCAATATGTCCAAGCAAATAACTCCTTGGCTATTAATATTACAGTGATAAATTCTTGTACGAAATGTAACCTAAAAATAAGGTAATTGTCAAGTATTCAAGTAGGAGACTTTTTACAACATTTCAGGGACTAATACATCGCCTGGTAGACACCACGACTGCAAGGTCACAGTGCTCACTCCTTTCATTTTAAGGAGAAGAAAGGCCAACACTTTCTCTTTCACGGTTCTTTTCTTGACGGGGCTAGCTTGATCCTATGTATCCCAGAGTAGCTGCCAACTTTTGATCCTCTAGCCTGTTTCGGTTTCCAGATTGTAAGATGACATATGTATGCTACTTACATCTGGCTTAATGTTAGTGTTTGAATAGTTGATCATTTGCTGACCTCTTGTGTTAGCTGGTAGCAATACACTGCTGAGTAAGCATCAAATCTAATAAGCTTGACTATAAATAGCACAGTTTTAAGCGCTTACCCTTGAAATACCTATTGCCAACTGAGGAGGCAATCCAGCCAATAGTCATCATATTCACTTAAAGACTAGCAAACTATACCCAAGAAGGTGAGACCTTTTCTGACCCATAGATCAGATCTAGACAGTCTACTAAATCATAGATTTTACTAAATTGGAGTAAATGGGTAAGGAGGCATTGGAAGGACACCAGTACAAGCGTGGAAGAAATCTAGCTTTTGTGATTACATGTTTAAAACCTCAGTGTCTCTTTCAAGAAACAGTTAAATCTGAGAGTGCATAGGTGATTTCTTACCTTTGGAGGCTTGAAGGGATATTCTGGTGTAAAAGTGATATCAAGGAAGAATACACCACCTTCATACACAGATCCTGGAGGCCCGAGAATGGTTGATCTCCACTCATAGATATTATCACCTTTGGGACCAGCACTGTAAAACAGTACCCCAGAAGATAAAGATGGTGACACTGTCTCAGGAAAGAAAAAACCCTCCCTCTCATCCTTTTGATTTAATGCCTGGGTTATGAAAAGAATGTGGTGTAAACTAATACTCTATCAGTCAAGTGAGTCATGGCCGAAGAACATCAGATCCATTCTAAGCCTACTGACTACAACCAAACTTTCCTCAACTCTGCACATAAGGTGAAAACAAACGTGTCTTGGAAGCTAAGCTGGACTTAGTTAAGTCTCAAAGACTTAACACATGTGGCTCTTCCCAGCACTTCTCATCCCTCTCCTTCCACTAAACCCCTCTCTCCCAGGGTCTTGGCTTCTCTTCATTATACAGCTCAGTTATTTTGGCTGTGGTTCTCTTGGCCCACACACCTCTTGGTTCCTGGTTTCTCTCTTGGTCCCGAGGCTCTTCTCTTCGTCTGCTTGCTCCCCTCTCTTGTCTCTTTCTCCCCACCCCCGTTCAGTCTGGACTCATCCAGATGTCTCCTGCTTTTACTTACAATAAAACCTCCTCATTCCATACCTAGGAATGATCATGTCCTCATTTTTCACTCAGTGACAAGTGTTCTTAGTTATATCATCTCTTGTAACCATTTTAAGTAGCATGAGTCTAATTTTCTGACCCACAGACTGACTCACCCTTGTGCTCTATCTCCATAATCTTGGTCCTAACTAAAATGCTTGGCAGAGTTTGGACTCTGGCAGGACTGGTGAACTCCAGACTGAGATAAAGACATACAACGTGCACACATGCAAATGCGTGCATACACACATACACTATGGCTTTAGCTAATAGATTTCTATGTTGCTTCACTCGTCCTCTGAGACAGAGTGTGGAAGTCATAATTCTCCTGACTCAGTTCCCACAAATGCTGGTTCATCTGTAATTCCAACTTGGTGACTATATTTTTTACCTTATAAGTTAATGAGTGAGAGAGGGAATGTCAAGTATGTAATCAGTTTTCACTTCAATGTTAAACCAAACCCTACTCTTGTTAAATATACTTGGTTATACCCTCATTTGGCTACAGCATCTTCTGAAACATGGCATTGGCTTCCAGAGTGTTTTGTATTCAAATACCTTAACAAAAGTGGTAAAAGCTTACCATTTTTAGTCTTACCAATTCTAAGACCTATGAAGACCTGCCTAAGACCTGCATGCTCCTATCAGTAAGGAAAATACTGTGGCAAAGACAAGAGTTGGGAAATGTCTGCTTTGCATGCAGGCAAATGTCAATGGAACGGACAAAAGTATTCCCGCCCTTCTCTGCCAAAGACAAGGTTTCTCTGTGTAGCCCTGGCTGTCCTGGAACTGTAGACTAGGCAGGCCTTGAACTCAAGATCCACCTGCCTCTGCCTCCTGAGCTGGAATCGAAGGCATGTGTCACCACCACCTGGTGCAAAGCTGCTGCGCTGCTCTTTTTAATAACACGTGAAATTTGCTCAAACACTGAATGCTCACGGACTGAGCAGCGCTAAATGGCCGTGGTTTGGGAGCTGAACAAGAAAAACTGTTTTCAAAAACCTTTACATTAACTGATTCAAAGCAGGTTTGATTCTTCCAGATGAGAAAACAAAGATGAAGTGGGAAGAAGAGGAAATAAAAGGCCATCATGACTTTATTTTCTTAAACCTAACCACATATTTTCCTCTCTTTCAGATTGAAAGTTAGGGTGAGAGAAGGAAGAAGATAAAACAGGAAGAGAGTGTACCTAGAAAAGAGAACAAGCTGGGCTTGACCAAACTGGGACGGTCATGTGCGGCAAGAGCTCTCATGAGCTCTGACACAGACCTAAATACCGTGTGACCCCCAAGCAGCTACTAAGCTAGTTCAAACTGTTGTCAGACTCAGCAGCACCCAGGAATTAGGAGAAGCTAGGGAAACGGAGACTAGCTCACAGGCTTATCTGAGGTGATGAGCAGATTCATATGCAAGTAAGCTAAGTATCCATCTACTAGCCTTCGGCCTCTGCTCCTGTGGAGACCCTAGGTAGCTCCAAGTCATTGCAAAATACAGGCTCAAGATTCTCCTGCATCATCTCCCCATGAGTTGAGAGTGAGGTATCATACCCTGGCACGGTCTCTTGCATTAGCAGAAAATACTCTGGTTTCCACGGTAAGAAACTCAACTGTCACTATGAATGGTTACAGTATGTGAGGTTCTGACCTGAGAAATGGAGCACAGTACTTGAGTCTACCCTGTGTGCCTTTGAAAGCGCACTTACTTTAATTAGGTCACCTCAAGGTTAGCAGGTAAGGCAGGGTGCGTGTGGAGATCAGTGTTGTGAGTCTTCCTCAGTTGTCTATTTTTGAGATAGGGTCTCTTACTGAACCTGAAGCTCACAGACTAGGCTAGAGAGCTCTGGGACTCTAGTGCTTCTGCCTTGCGCTCAAGTGCTGGGTACACACGTGTGCTACTCTACCAGCTTTCTATGCTGGAACTAACAAGGCCCACAAAGCCACCTGTTTCCACCTCATCATCATGCTCAGCACTTTTCCATGGGTTCTGGGGATCAAAGTCAGTTCCTCATGCTGTGAGGCTAGCTAGCACTTTATAAACTGAGCCAGTTCCCTGGCCCCAGGAATATGCCTTCCAACATTTTCACTAAAAAACGATGTAGTGTTTATTTATGTGTACATGTGTGCTGGTGCCAGTGGAAGCTAAAGGGGTGTGTGATCTTCTGGAGCTGCACTCATAGGGTGGTTGTGAAGCACCTGAGTAGTACAGACTGAACTCTTCTGGAAGAGCAGCAAGTGCTCTTAATCAAGGAGCCACTCCTCCAGCCTCACTTTCAGATTTTCTTAAACAGACATTTAGAGTTTCCTTGCAACCAACATATAGTTCAAAATGAAAGTATAATAATAAAACTTTTTTATTCCTTTGAGACAGGATTTCTCTGTGTAGACTTGGCTGTTCTGGACTAACTTTGTAGACCATGCTGGCCTTGAACTCATAGCGATCCACTTGCCTCTACCTCTCAGAGTTTTGGGATCACAGGCATACACCACCACGGCTGGCTAATAATACTCTTAAACAATTCTGCCAGTGAAGCCAAGTCTGTTGATTGCCAACCAGCCATCTTCACTCAGTCATAATGGAACTCTTTGCCCACTGGCAGCTTTTCTTGTGGCCCCAGCTACATGCCCCATGCTCACCTCATTAATGATACACTGCTGACTACAGTTCCCGAAACTGCCACTGGCAGTAACTTCTGCCCAACACATGTGGCTTAAGAAAATTTAAACAGCCCAGATTCATTCAAGTCATTAAATCACAAGCCTAAAAATAAAACTGTTAAAAACAACAACAAAATCCCATTTTTAGAGTAGTCCTAGTAGAATCTGATGTGTTCTCTGGAATTTTCAAATATAAAATAATTTTTCCACAAAAATGTAAGCTTTTGTTTTAAAATCATTTTTGTGAGTCCTCCTTCCTTCTTTCCTCCAGCTACGCTGGAGCTCTTCTAAGCCAACAGGCCAGTTACACCCTAGTTTTCAAATGAGAACCCCTGAAGCAGAGTGAAGGTTACACCCATTTTTAACAACTGTATTTCATGCCTCAACCAAAGACCATACATAGAGAGGCCATAGAGCCCCCGGCTCTGATGTAGCCCAAAAGACAGCTCAGTTTCCATGTGGGTTCCCTAGTAAGAGGAGACAGTCTCTGACATGAACTCAGTTGCCTTTTCCTTGATCGCTTCTCCCTAGTGGGTTGACTTAGCCAGTGCACATAGGAAGAGGATCCAGGCAGTCCTGGTGGGACCTGATAGGCTAGGGTCAGACAGTAGGGGAGGAGGACCTCCCCTATCAGTGCAGTAGGGAAGAGTTAGGATAAGGGAGGAAGAGGGAGGGAAGGAGGGATCGGGAGGAGATGAGGGTGGGGGCTACAACTGGGATGCAAAGTGAAAAATTGTAAATAATAATACTAATAAAAGACCATATAAATAAATAAATTTAAAAAGCTGTACTTCTAGTTATCAACTTTTAAAATTTTATTAAAAAAGAGCTCCTTTGCTTCAGACACACAAAGCCCTATTTTTGGCATAATTCTTCAGGTTTTATCTTTGATGCAGGGTTTCATTCAGCCCAGGCTGGTCCCAATTTACTTTCCCCTTCCACCTCTGAGCGCTGAGACTACAGGTGCTGTCACTGTACCCGGTTATTTTAGGTATAATTCTAGAGACTTGGTTATCTGTCCTCTCTTGCTTAAAGAACAACAGCAGCAACAACAAATGAGGTCATGGGATTGGGAAGAGAGAACAGCGAGAGCTGTACTAGAAGCAGGCAGATAGACATTAGCAGGAAGTGAGAGTGGAGAGAAAAGGGCACAGGGGTCCAAGTGAGCTAAGATGTTTCAGAACAGACACCAAGCAATTTCTGGACTTCGTGATCTGATTGCTACTCCATAAAAGCAAAGAATCGGCATTCCCTAGGGAGCTTGAGATTGCAAAAACTGACAAACTGCCTTCCCTCCAACCAGCACACCATCCTCCTTAGAGGTCATAAAGATGCATGTTAACACTCCTCAATCCAGAACTCATTCCAATTTCTTTGGAGGACAGACTTGCTTTCAGAGACAGCTGGTATTTATATGACCAGGGAAAGAAAGGCCAAGCAGAGCTCCTATGAGCCCGTTCAGGAAACCTATAAGGTCAAGACTTTTCACAAATACAAAATACTATCTGCCATTTTCACTTGGTACTTCAAGGGATTTCCAGAGGCTGCAGCTGTGCTGGAGAGGGCTGAGCAGATGAAATCCCAGCTGTCTTCTATTATGCTAGACATTAAAGCAACTCACAAATATGGAAAACAGTGCCACTCCTCTAAGGTTTTTTAATTTTGGAAAATTGCTATTTTCGTTCAAAATGCTGTTTATATTAATTGTTAGTTTAAAATTAGATTTTTAGTGTTTGTTTTAATTTGGAATCCAGCAAAAACATAATTACTAGCCATACAATCATGTTACTGGCTCTAATG